GTATCTTAGCGGAGAAAGTTATTACGCTAGGTATAAAGTTCCGGAGAGTATTTAATAGCGGTTCCCGCTTATAGCGTATCGAGTAATACTTAGTAAGGTCCTGCCCTTAAGGCGCTTTATGGCGGAGGGATCGTCTTATTTTAGCCGTCGTTTCGGTAACCTTTCGCTACTTATCCTTTAGATTTAATCCGGTATTACCCTTCTTTCTCTTCTAGTAAGACTATATAGCTTCCGTGATATTACCTATATCTTCCTAGGGGACCTATTAATTGTATTTAGAGGGCTATCCCTTCTACTTCACTAGAAAGTAAGTTTCGCCGTTAATAGTCCTATCTTCGCGAACCTCTTCTATCTCGTATTTATTGTGAAGGGCTGAAGCAAGACTTGATTCAATCTAACTAGGCCAACATACTGTTTACAAAAAGCTTAAGGAGGGGAAGTTTATCCTACGCGTTCTCCACGTCAACATACCAAGGTCTCGTGATACACGTGACCTATATCGGGCACTGGCCCGTGACAATACCCCCCTCCTAGTCTTAATCTCATCAGGGGCACNACCATCCAAACTTCATTACACTATATAGCTATACTATATAGCTATATATTAGGTCTGTCTAATCACCTAGCTTCCTATACGCTAACTACTTGCTTATATCGTAGGGGAACCGTTCTTTATAGAAGTTTTCTCGGAGGGTACGAATAAGATCCTCGTCGAGTAATTCGGGCTAATCTATATATACGTCAGTAAACACCCCTAGTTAGGTTAACTATACGGCTAGCGGACCTAAGGTAGTCATATATACATCCACTATCTACCACGGATTCTTATCTCCTAGCTCCCGAAATCTCGCTCGGGCGGCCGTGATAAGGCTCTCTTAATCTAGGGCTAATAACGTATAGTCCGGGCTTTTACAAAGTTAGGTAAGGCTAAGTGACCGGGCGGGACCTAACATTAAGGATTAGAGCTATACTTATCTAGCATCCTAGTCCGCCTCGTCTATTATAACGGGTATATAGAATACCTTACTTAGGCGGTAACATCCTTATAGTCTTAAAGTCCGTTTTAGACGCGACATATTCTACCGATCATCGATAAGTCGGCTCGCATTACACCTAATAGACAGATCGGACAGCTAGATAAGGGCGGCGCACTTAAAATAGGAATTCTGATACGTAAAGAGCCGATGCTCATCACTCTTAATCTCGCGTTGTTCTCTTCGCGTAATAGTTACACCTCGAGTATATAGACGTCTATACCTCCCGGTTCTTCGAGGTATTCTTACTTAGCCCCCGTGCTACGCCTAAAGTCAAGGCTACGTCGAATCGTAAGGGGTCTAGGTACTAGCTTTCTAGGCGATTTAACAAAAGCAGCTATCGTTATACAAAAGATAGGGCCGTTAGAAGGTAGAAAAGCCATCATGGTCCATTCTACTCCAGCGTTATAAGTTATAGCCTCAGAAAATCTATATTAATAAGTGTTCTTAATATATCGCCGTGAATAATTGGTCAATTTACACTCCGTCTACATTTTCATAGCCTAACTTTAACCATATAATCTACACTTAGAGCGGCAATAAGCTTTGCTAAGTAAATACTAAGGCTAACGGTTCAAAATAATCCCCTAACCTTATACCATACAAAACTTATGCTATATAGATATCCGATTTCCATATATAGGACTATATCGCGGGAAGCTCGTAGATAACTAAAGTATCGTTAATCGGAGCCTAAGCCTTAGCACACTTAGTCCTTATTCGCGAATAGATACTAGTGGCTAGGTATAACACTAGGTTCTATATATATTCCTAATAATAGGCTTTAGACCGGCGACCGTGGCAGCGGATACAACGCA